TTTAAGATCATTTTAGTGAAAGTTTCATGTTCCTATCTCATAGAATTTAAGAACAATGATGAATAAATAATTTTCGAGCAAAATTTAAATGGCCGGCTGAATATATTACCGCAGGAGCCGCGGCCGCGGAATTTAAATGACCACGTCAAAGGGTTAATCTTACTATGAGCAGCTTACCCTATCCAAGTTTTAAACACTGAGAAATGTACATCATGTGATGTCCACTGCTCCATGCCACACAGGTTACCTTTTTGCCTAAGGTTCCTCTGGCCTAGGTGGGACAGTGTCGCAGAATACAAATACACATGCACAACTAGAATTTTGAAAAATTATAATTATGGTAGCAGAACAGAAAAGCTTAGACTAGAATATTAAACTTGAAATAATGTGTTTTTATGAAGTCAACAGCTTGTCAAAAATTGAACCAGTAAAGCAGTACAGATTAACTTGTTTGACATTGTTTACAGTATTAAAGAACAAAGAGAAATATGGTATGTACTAAACTAAAGCAAACTTAACGTTGTTCCTCTCATTTGTGAGTACATGTTGGTGAAATTTATTTTGTGATCTCACTTAGTGGCCATGTGATGAACACAAAGATGGGAACTATCATAGGCACAGGAACTTCAGATGGTATGATAACTGTCCAGATGTCTTATGAGGAGGTTTAATTAACGAACGGTTTTGATATTAGGAACACAAGACTTACCGTGTTTTTTAATAAGAATATATGCATTCTTTAAAGGCAGATGTTTCATGTGTGTGTGTGTTGTATTTAATGACTCATTCAATATATGCAAAAATAACTTCACAGTATAATCTGCTCTGCCTCTGCATCCCTGATCTATAAAATGTGTTGAGGAATAAAAGCAGCAATGCCCTGTGTTCAGTATATACTTCTGAAATTCAGAACCTGTTTTAAGGATGGTGGTTTTGTTCTGATGATACTGGGTAGTGCGTGTAACCTTGTGGTTGTCCTTTGTAAATATGTGTACTTTGTTTATTTTATATATGCTTTTTAAGGCACAGCAGTGTGGAAACTTGGCTGTAGTATAAACAATAGCTAGCTTCATTTTTGTAGTATCTTCATTTGTTGAGTTTGGGTTTAATGTAACAGAGTTGGAGGCCATGTAGGAAATGCTTCAATTTACCTGTTACGCAGAATTGCCTAAAACTGAATGAGCTTTATCATCATGTGTTTTCTGTTGATTTGAATCACCATGTCCCATTTTCAAAACTTTTATTATAATGCTATTCATGTCATGTAGCCACACATTCCAATACCAGAGGATAATGGGGGAATTTGAAAATCATTTGTTAGCTAAAAGAATGTGGTTAACCTTTAACGGCCGAATGTTAGATATACGAGGGGGTACCCAAAAGAAACCGAACTTATTTTTTTTTAACTTATTTATTCAAATTTTAAGCACAAACCTTCAATCCCCTTCAAAGTACTCTCCACTTACACTAATACACTTGTCTAGTCTTTTATTCCATTTTTCAAAACATTGTCTAAATTCATCTTTTGAGATGCTTGACAGCGCCTCCGTCGTTTTTTCCTTCACCTCAGCAACATCAGCAAAACGCTTTCCTTTCATGTCTCTTTTCATTCGAGGAAACAAAAAAGAAAGTCGCACGTGGCAAGGTCGGGTGAGTATGGAGGGTGAGGAACAGGGGTCATACCATTTTTGGTCAAGAATTGTCATACAGACAGGGCTGTGTGAGCAGGGGCATTGTCATGATGGAAAA